GAGGTAACGGTTCTATAAAAAATCTCACAGCTACACACCAGCAGGCCAAATGTCCGAAATGGTTTGAGGTCCAAATTCCATTATAATAAATCTTTTCACCCAAGCTCACAACAAACCCCATACACACCTCAAAAAATCAAAATGAAATATTTATAGTTGATTATAGTTGTTTATTTTGATCTTAAATGAAGTTGAAGATATTAAACTTTCAAAAGATCCAAAAAACAAAAAATTCATGGAAAGTCACCTTTTAGCCTTTCGAGACATGTAGCTCCAAATAGCACAAGGTGTTTTACAACTGATAATGATCGGGGCAGACACATATGTGACCAAAAGTTTTTCGTTTTCTTTCAGCTACAATATCAATATTCGCAAGCACTTTTGCCTCTTTGATTGAAATTAGGTTTTACCACTTGATCAAAACAAGTCTGCTTGTTTCTATCTGTTTTAGGACATGCAAACATGATATACATCAAGATTATTCATCTATCCATTACGATATCATTGCTTGCCTATTTTCAGTTCAGGAATAACTCTGTGAATTTTTTTACGGAGACAAAATTGTCATGGGAACCATGATAACAATCATAAAATAAAATTTTAAAAACAATTACTCATTTATTGACTCCAGACAAACTGAGACAAACAAATGAATAGCATTTTATTCCTATTACAGTTCTTTGACAATAATGTCAAAACAAAAAAATCATAATTATGCTGTATAAACAAACATTCACCCTAGTTGAACACGCTCTAGAAAAAGATGCAACATTACGGCCATTAAACGTACTCAATAAAATTAGAACATGTTTGCTACATCATGGTAAGCCTGTATACAATCTTCAAATTTACAAGCTCAAATTTAGATGGCAGAGGAATTCAGAAACAAAATGCACATCATTCTCACCAATGCTTTCAAAACCCAAAACAAATCTTAAACTAAGAACTCTTCTCCCATCAGTTTCCCCCCAACCCCCCTCCAAAATATCCATTAAAACGCACCATATCCCCCCCGAAAAAAGACGAAAAAGAATCAGCATCTATGTTCGTAAAAAAACAAACAAATGAAAAATAAAAACAACCATTCGCCAATTAACTCATCAAAGACAGATGCCAAGATGCATAATGAGAGAGGAGTTGAAATTTAAAGCCTAAAATGGTAGCTTAACTCATTTGCTACGACGAGCCATGGACAGCTGCGCGGTGAAAGTGTCTTCCGTACGCCAAGCCGCCCCCGACGGCACGAGAACCAACCTATAATTCTAGTTTAGATTTTATTCCAATCCACATATATATCCATGTTAAAATAAAGGTTATAATATAACATTGACTTCCGGGTCAAGCGTTTCCACTGAAAATCGTAAGATTAGATTCAGTTTTGAAACGCGATTTCGTAGTTTAAGCGACTTTGTTTTATCGCGATACCAAAATTATAGCCCAGACACCAGTCTTAGTACTTTTACACAACACAATGTATCAGTATTTTGCTCACTAAAGAAATGTAGGACACTTCTTAATAATATTGAAACTACTGGACTCAAATTGTCAATGCACTGTTATTGAGAAATCAATACTTTTGAGTGCTAGATATCTAGGTCTAGATCTAAATTGTCAAAATATTTTTTTCTCCCCAAAATCACTACTTTTGGCGATATTCCATATAAGATACACATGTTTTTTTTCTGCTCGCGATCCATTTTTCAAGATTATAATTTAAAAAAAAAAAAATATCGGATGTTATGATCAAAATGTACAAATATTATAGAATGTATGTAAATAACTGCAAATTTTTCAATATTTTCCAATTCTATATTCATTTATGGTTATTTTGATGTAGGTGCAAACATATTTTTTGAGTTTCACCAAAGATTATAAATTTTTTATTTTCAAATTTTATCCTCATCCAACCAATCAAAATTGTGTTGCATAATCGCCTCTTACAGGAACCAAAGTTGACAAATACACAAATAAACATTACAGATGTATTCGACAAACCATACTGAAAATGTTGGTATACAATATGTTGATATTTATTTGAATTTGTGGCCTCAAAGACATTTGAACAGCGCACTAGTCATCATCTCATTTTGCCCTCCCGAAAAAAATGTGTCCACAAGCTGAGAAAATAATACGTAGCGAATGAGTTAAGACAAATAAAACTAACAAGTAAATATCATTGCCTCTGTTTCTTCCCATAAAATAATGAATGGACTTATTTCCAGAGTACATATATATCTGCCATACTGAATACAAAGATATAATGGTTGGACATAGGCATACATATATTATAAGGGTTATGGTAGGTACCGCAACAATCAGAGTTTGGGCACTGGAAAAATGCACGCGAGGGGCGTGAAGTGTTGATTTAGTCACAAATTGGTGCTATTTTTTATATGAGCAGTGTTGCTTTGACAAATACAAAGAAATTTACACATCATTTTAGTTCAGTGTTCTGAAATATGGTAGGCTTGTTTAGTTTAATTTCAAGTGGGGGGAATAATAACTAATCCGTTGGGAAAATGACAACAGGAGTCGTTGGTGGATCAGTGTGCTCAGCCTGACTGGGAAAACTATCTGTGGGTGGTTGGGTTATTCAAATGCAAACCATTGTGCACCCCCTCCCCAGCTCCTATTTTACACTCCAGCTGGCAGACATGTCTGCCCAGTCACGGCTTCGAAATAGGGGTATCTGCACTAAATCCAGTGGTCAACCTCATGAAAGTGTTTCTTATCCTGCCCTTCAAAAAATCATAAAAAATAATGAGCCATTTTTTATTCTATAATTATTTCATAATGTTGTTTATTTTTTATTGCAATGGGCGGTCGAAGCATAAATCTATACTATAATGCTTAACAACTTAAAAAAAATAAATTACACATTTATTGATCCCAGAAGGGCAATTTGGTTTACAATGGCAAACATACATGAAGGGCACAAGGGCAAAAACCAGCAATGTCAGTTTTTATCATTTTCTGGGTTATTGTCCCGGCATGACGCCTAGCTGGGTCTGCTTTAATCCAACGAAGTCACATACGAAAAAACCAGCGCTGCCAGTCTCAGCAAGAGTTTTAAAAAAAAGCTCACAATAGAAGAACCAGCCATGTCAGGATGCTAACAACAGAATAACCAGCGATGTCAAGCATACTTTTCTTTGTGGCGTCACTTATGACTAATCAGTGACCATATTTCAGTGAAAAAATTGTGAAATGGTATAGGTTTAACGGACCTGTCAACACTACAGTCAAACCTGCCCTGACGGCAACCTCTATAAGACGGCCACCTGTACAAACGGACACTTTCCATTTCCCCCCTTGCGTTTTTTCTATATAATTTAACTGTGTAAAACGGGCACCTGTCCAACGTGGCCGCGGCCACCATATTTCAACACACAACCCCTATCACACAAAGCAATAACACCTGTCTTAGACGGCCATCTTAGTGACTCCATTACGCTTTGTCATAAATCCAGCATTGGCCCCTGGCGTTGTGGGCGAGCCGTCATAATCTAAAAACCTGTCGTTGTTAGGTAGTCCCTCCAACTGATCATGTTGCGTAGGCCCCTCCCACTGTTGACCAATAGGTAACAAAATTAATTTTCAGCTGCTGGGAAGGGAAGCGTGTGATCCCTCATAACCCATAAGCCCCGCCCAGAATCCATACACAAATTATAGCAAGTGAGATGAGTGGTCACTGTTTACCCAGTCTGTAACAAAGTAACAATGGACGTCAGCATGAACTTGTGACAGAAGCGTTGCTTGTTCTCCGAGTGGTAGTACGTGTGTTTGTTTTACCATAACACTTGGTCCTCCTTGTTTGACACATTTCGTTTTATTGTCACCCGTACACAAAAGCAGCAACAAAAGAAAAGAAAACCCAGCGAAAACAACAACAACAATGCAACTACCTTCGGTTGGGACCTCAGAAAGGGAGGGTTTGTTTGCTCAAAAAGGAATGGTTTGTTTTCTTCCTCTTGATCAGTCCTGCCTAAGACGGCCACCTGTCTTATACGGCCACTTTTCTCCTTGACAATGGGTGGCCGTCTTACACAGGTTCGACTGTATTAGTAGTATTCGGTTATTTAAGAGGCGCGTTCTCAAGAGTTTAACGTCCATCCCCGAAAGAACTGAGCCAAATAGGAAATTCATGTAAAGTGCCTTTTCCAGGCCAAAGACACAACATTGGACCGAGCTGAGGCTGAAACCCCCGAACTGTTCTTATATGCGCTGCTAAATGGGAACATCATTCACCGAGCACCCATGTTACTCTAATCTTAGATTTTTCAAAGAACTTGGGCTGCCCAAACAACTCAGCAAACTATTTGTACAATCGCGGCAGCTATCTTTCTTCTCCTTTAAAATCTACTCTCTAAGTGATAAAACAGTACACCTGTACTATGACGAGACAGTCAGCAAAAAGTGTGGAAACAATGCGGCCAGCATGCTGCTTCATTACTTTCTACACATTCAATCAGCTAATGTGACTCGTGCACAGTCTAGAACAAGAAACGGACAGTGATGTGGTTTCTCTTTTCTGTTGTTGTCCACCAGTAAAGGTACGAAAAAGTGAAAATCTCGTTTCTAGTGAGAGGCCACAGCTATAAGTAAAGCGACAGAGACATGGCAGTGGTGAATGTGAAGATCCCTGTTGGGTGGAGCAATTCAAGACAGTCCTTCGGAAACACTTTCCGCTCCAGATAGTGAAGATGACACAAGCCGTATTCCAGAATGTGTCAGAAAACCTTAAACCGTACTACTGTGTCTCCTGCCTTATACCCACTCGACCTCTGCTTGAAATCTGCATCTCACAAGCCTATCCACAACTAATGCAGTATAGACAGAGCTGGAATGGTCTGTTTCACCCCGCAATCATAGTGAAGCTGGTGGAAAAGAAGCGCGTTGCAAGAGTCCAGCATCTGAAACCTCTCTATAAGAGCCCGCTGACCAACAAAGCTGCCAAATATGCAGACATGAAGGTCTTTAAGGAGTTTTGGCCTGACAGCTTTTCTCCGAATTGTCTCATGCTGGAAAAACCAAGTGCCACACAAGAGTCTGATGACTGAGTCGTCATCCAAAAATGAATATGAAATAAAATTGAAATAAACATAGATAATACTACAAAATGGAGTGCAATTTTCTTGTTTGAATCATTTAGTTTTGTTTGTATTCACAAATGAGTAAAGAAGCTCACAATTCATACTTCCTAGAAGATGGAGACCTTGCCAACAGCTTACGTGGGAAAAACCAGTGCTGTCAGTTTGCTACATAATTGTTCTGATCACAAACGTTCATTACCTTTGATACACACTGTACGAAAACATCCAGTACAAATTGAACGTTAAGATGAATGGTCGTTTTACCAACTTCACAAGGCCAAAAACAGTCCTGCCCTAGAAGCTGATAACTTCATAATTATTGTTAAATTTATAATTACCCTTACAAACTATTATAATTTGCTTTTATTGATCACTTAAACATGCAAGCGACCACTGATGCTCGGCGAGTGGCGTTGATTAACGCGATTAAAATGCCTAGACGCCGTCATACTGTGACTTAAGCAGTTGAATCACGCAGATTTAGGTAGCTCTAAACCGCCATGTCCATTAACTTATGTAAGAAAGCTTTTTTTTTTTTTTAAAGTTGGATACAGACCATTGTCCTACTTCATATTATATCATATATATCTGAATTTCACATTCATAGATACGAGCATAACGAAATAAAACAGTTTTTTGCTTCTCCTGAAAAATTTGTCTCTTGGCACTTAAGCAGATGAATCACGTGGCTAGCGATATGCGCTGAATATTTGAGGTGCTACAAAAGTAACAAACACAAATGAGAAGGAAAAGATATAATAAGGATGTCAGAATGTTTGATAGGAACGAAGAAGCAAACCACACCAAAGCCTGCCAACCACCCACACTTGACAAGCTGTGGTGCTTAATGTATCCCAAAAAGATAATATGGAATAAAAAGGTCCACCAAGAGAGCTACTGCAAGTATGATGTGAACCTTCAGGGGAATTTGCAACTATAAATAAGCACATTAACACAAAATTAAAAGCCTGATTTTCAACAAAAATCTTAGTAGGCCTATTATGTACGACATGGACATCAGCAGCTCTAGATACAGTGACTCCATTCCTTAAATACAACTCTGTGAAACACACAGAAAAACAACAAATTATAAGAATATAAACTTTGCCCAATGATGTGAAATGTGCAAAATCTATGATAAATCTACATCAGATCTTTAAACTAGTCAGCCATATTCTCCTTGTCATCATCATCTCCTCCATTCTCCCCATCTCTTGACATGGTCATCATTGCCTCACTTCTGGGTCCATCTTCATCCTCATCATCATCGTCGTCACCGTCCCCCTCTTCCAGTAAGAACAGTCGGATTCTTCTTTGTGATTTGAGGAGCTGATAGATAAAATAAAAAGGCATGAGTAAGACAGTAAGAAAACATAAAAATTACCCCCTCCCCCCAACCCCCCCCCCCCCCCGAACAAAAAAACCCAAAAACAACCCCAAACAAACATGGAGGTCAATGAAGGTATATATACGAATATGTTTACCAACAGAATCAGATAAGTAAGTAATTAAAAAACGCGTTTCTTCCATGGCAAATTTACTTCGTACAAAAACCAAGAGCTATCATTATCTACCCAAATCAGGTCTCTTGTGAATCTGCATTTTAACGAAATTCACTAACAAAACAAGGATATTTCTATGAAACACTGGGAGGAAAATTAGGATGAAGTTAGAAGGGCACATCCTGTGAGCATAATATTAGCTTAGCTTTTGGTTTTAGTAAGAGTTTTACAGCACTCACAACACAAATAGATCATATTCAAGGCATAAGTGGCTCAGACTTTCAACTACTGTAAGGTCGTGGGTTCGTATCCCATTAGGGGCCCGATGTCGTTTCCATGGGAAAGACATTTTACATGAATTTTTGTCACTTCACTAAGGTGGGAATGAGTACCCTGAGTAAACATGAAAAGATCTTGTCAGTTTATTAGCGTTTGAAAGCAAGTGATCCACATCTTGTGTTGTATGTATGCTTCTCGGGAAACCCAAAATATTTCGGAGTGTTTTTATAGGGTCAGCTGGGGTAATACTCGTAATAGTTGTAAAGCCCCCATAGACCATAGACGTGCGCTATATAATCATCATTAATATTATTATAAATAATACAATCGAAGATTACAGGAGTTTCTAGAGAGTAAAAGACAGAGAAAAGGAGGAGCGATAAGGACGACAGATGTTGATAGGAAAAAACATTCTTCTCATGACATTTTTTATCGATGTGTGCATTGTATAGAAAAGAAATATATTTTCTGAGGAAAGTTGTTTCACAAGCACGTTATTTGAATTCTAGGCACATTTTCTTTTTTCCATGAGTATATTTTAGCAGTGGCTTTGATAAAACGGGTATCAACTCTTAATAGATCTGTTGAGCTTAAGAAAAATGCAAAGATATAATCAGTTTTCTCCCTTGCGTCGTTATTTCTCGACAGCTCCGCCAATGATGACTGTCGGTCAGTGGGTTAATGGAACATTTATGAGCACTTCAGAGAGAAAAGTACGAGTTTTACAACGTGCGTGAAAACTATGACGGATTTCAGTGTACAAGGGTATGTCCATCTATCTACATAATATATAATATGCATTGTAGGTTTATTAAGTCAAAATTATAATACTAGTGTTGGATGAACTCAAGATCCAATATCAAATGGTTGCTTTTAAGGGCAAACGGGCTAACCCAGATTTCAGATCATAATGTACGGAGCAGAAACCCGAGTGGGCACAAAAGAAAAACCAAAAAGTAAAAATTTGCATTGATTGAACTGCCCATTGCGTCACAGATCAGCCACTCTCGTGAATGTGATCACATTGTTATGTTGTAAATCTTGATAAAATGGCAAAAAGTTAGCCCCTGTATAGTCGTATGACACACACATACATAGCCCTGAAACTAAAGTAAAGCTCACCAGTGAGGCGGTGGTTCGAATCCCACCCACGGCGATGGCAAGTCCACTGGCATTGGTCTGATAGTTGACCCCAGCAGCTGGCAGAAGCGGCCCAGCGTTCAGGGCGGGTCTGGGGACACACAAAGGACAACAAGTCAGTGGTGATATTTGTTTGAGTAAAAAGACGCATATGAGCGAAAGCATACTATTATATTATTATGTGTATGTGTACAGATGTGTGTGAGCGGAGGAGAAGATATGTGAGAGAGTGTATTGTTTGTACATGTGTGCGCGCACGTATGTGAGTGTGTGTGT